TAATACTGCCGTGCCAAGGCAGAGCGACGTATCTGCACTTTTTATGATTTTGAGTTATGTCGCGCTGCCATAGGAAATATGAGACTGGCCCTTCAGTTACGTCTGTTTGCCATAGTGAAATCTCCTATTTGTAGTGCAGTTACGTCTGTTTGCCATAGTGAAATCTCCTATTTGTAGTGCAGATACGTCTGTTTGCCATAGTGAAATCTCCTATTTGTAGTGCAGATACGTCTTCCTGCCTTTGACACAAGATGCAGAATGGGTATAGGCGAAGATGCAAAACTTAATAATTTTTGCACGGCAATCTGCCTTGGTACGGCAGAATAAAATAATAATGATGATAACGATAATAATGATAATGATGACGATGATGATGATGATGATGATGATGATGATGATGATGATGATGATGTTAATAATATGATAATAATAATAATAATAATAATAATAATAATAATAATAATAATAATAGTAATATTTGCATTTATATAGCACATATCATATCCACGCTCTACAGCACGCTATATATGCCCTCTACAACAATTTAGATCCCAGCAGACTCTAGAATTGTCCTCAAGACCATTCTCGACTTTCCAGGAAGCATATTGCACTCCCGTTAAAAGAATAAATAAATAAACGAAATTTAAAAAAATCATGTTCAGATTACTTTTAAAAAATGGACTACGGGAAAAAAGACCAACTTCGTACAGAATAATTTTGGGTACTTTCGTCTTTGGTTTCAGGACTGTTTAAATAACGAATGAATAGAGTTTATTCCCCCCTAAGTGCAGCTGTGTCACTGCACACTTTGTATCTCCCCCACTTCTGTGCCGGCAACCCCAGGAATGAGTAATTCTGCAAAGGAATCCGCCCACTCGGGCTGGGAAAGCCCCCATTCCCTTAAGAACCGGATATACCATATACCGTTAAGAGATTGGTTTGAACCGAGTTAAAAAGAGAGCAAGATCCTAACGGCCCAGAAAAGTATAATTGAAATATATATACATATTTGTGAAAGTAGTTATAGGGGCGAGTTTATCCAAGATTATAAAAAATAAGAGAAAGAAAAAAAACCCAACCCCAACAACAACCAACCATCAGTCCAATCTTATATGTTCATTTAAATTTTACAGCGAGCATTATTTTCCTCAAACGTTGGCTACATTCACTTTGAGGGAATCAAACTGTTCGATTTATTAAATAAAAGTGTTTGATGATGATAGTACTCGGCATTTGTATGGCACTCAACCCCGATACTAAAGCAGAGACTAAAACAAGATAAGATCATACTTCATTGTCCCTTCGAGAAATTTCGAGTGGCTTCAAAGATGAAGGTTTTGGACGCTTTAGACTAATTATAAGTGACAAAACATAGAAAGTATATTGTGTCCAGACTTTGACAGAAGAATGTTTAGACCATTCTAAGAAACAGCTGGAAACTAGTAATCTAATTTAGTGAAAGAAGCTAAGGGTCTTTTGTTTTGTTTTTGTAAAGTGTTTTACGGCGCTCGCAACTGCATAAGGTCATATGAGCGCGCGCTAAGGGTTTGATAGGCGTCGTAAGTTCAGTGGTTAAAAACAAATTGGGTTGTCTAGTGGAGATTTTAAAGCTCTCCGCCCATTTGGCGTGGATCTATGGGAGATAGACGTCAAATTTGGAGGCCCTGCCTCTTAAGTAATCTCAAAATGTTGAAACAGGCGTTCAAAGTTCTGGATCAGGATCCCATGAACAGCTGTGGTGGTATATTTTGAAGAAATTATCCGGTTATCCAGATTTCTAAAAACCAAAATTTTGCAAGGTTCGACCAGCCGCAAGCAGTCCAAAGCAAAGGCGAGAGGCAAACACTTCTTTTGTTAGGCTACATCTGGGGAGAGTGTAGAGGTGCTGGGACTCAAACAAACCGGTTGAGAAATCTGGTTAAGCCTACTTATATTTAGTTGTACTGAGCGCACTGCACTGCAACATCTGCTGTTTTCGAGGTCTTTTTGTAGCTTCGATTTTCCTGTTTGTATGTCTGTCCGTCTGTCTGTTTCTCCCTCCACGTCTTCTTACTTCTCTCCATTCCTCTCTTTCCCCTACCGCCTTATCTCTCTCCCCTCTCTCTCTCC